AGAGAATACTTTCTCGCAGCATGAGCGCTCCGCTAAATATTTAAAGGAAAACAATATCTTCATATGCAGAGATAAGCTTCCAATTGAACGTCGGTTTTTTTCCAAAATAAGAAAATAATAACAGGTCTGCGGCAACCATAGCAAAAGTTTCCTCTGAGTTTAGACATCTAGGCGACGTAAGCCTACGCCCCTCTGGCTTGACGGAAATTTCGCTTGAGTCTTCATTCGTTAATCTTACCTCTGCTTCGAGTGAAATCGTGATGCCAACATGTCATTCGGAGGTTAAGCGGCCTTAGCTGTGGTTGTGTTCAGGGCACTACAAACACCAGGCCAAATCCTGCTTAGCAGGTTAAGGGCGAAAGGCACCCGCGGGAGGCATTCATTGCATAAGAAACTCCCAGTTAATGTCTCAGATGGCAGTGGCCAGGGGCAAAGCCAGGGATAATGCTGACAGCTTCCAAACAAATATGAGAGAGCATGAGACCGTGGTGGCAACTACTACAGTAGGAGTACGGTTTCCGCTGACACCATTGCTGATTTTAAAAGAAGACTTGATGTCATTTTTTGACAAAAGGCGACCATCACAAGATGATTGCTTATTGCCAGCATTGTAAACCATATTCCTTGCTTTATACTTTTTGCTATTATTTCGCACTATTCCACGACAACTCAAGCGAATGTGTGTCATACTACCACATTTTACTACAACCTCTTATTGACAGTAACAATGATGGGGCTTATTTTACATTAATAGGATCACGAAGGGCCTGTAGGTGTCTAGGTTGTGGTTGTGCCTAGATCACTACAATCATCAGGTCAAATCCCAGGTTGGAAGTTAGAAGGCAAGAGTCACCAGAAGGAGTGTTTTATTGTATACAGAACTCCTAGTTGCAGTCTCATGTGGCAGTGGCCACTGGCAAAGCCAGGGCTGGTCCTGACTGCGTCCAGTCAGGCCTGTGATTGTCGGCTGTGTGTTGTGTGGGGTGATGACGGTTGCTTTTTCATGACTGTGAAGCCAGTTCAAGTGGTCTGTGAGTGGTGCGTTGCAGTTAGCCCAAGGGGGTGTCGCCTGCAAAGGCCTCCTGCTGTGTGGCCGCGGTTTCTCGTGTTCGAGTGTTACTTAAGAAAGCGCGACTAGTTGGGCGTGCGTATGAGTGCGTGTGCACGTATGTAATTGTGGAACTGAAAAAGTTAAGGTCAACCGCTAGGTAACGTTGGAAGGATCGGGGACGCTGGTGCGGCTGTTATCTGTTAGACAGAAGCAGCTGCGAGTTCAAGCCTCG